TCATTGATTTTAATCAAATGGGAAAAGCACTTAGTAGGCATGGAAATGACACATTACATTTGTTTTTCATTTCCACTACTGTCCATCCCTGGTCTTTGCAGTATTTTATGAGTTTTAATTTTAGTTTTCTTTCTCATTATAGAGAACCTTCCCAGTTATGAAATTCTGACCATGGGGTTTTTGCAGATTTAAGACTTCCCGTATACAGGGCTAGTGTAAGGACTGTGTTCTTGTGTGTTCCGTTAAGTAATAATGTAAAGTGCACTGGCTCTTTTAGCTATTCCCAAGTTTCTCCTTTTTGTTGAGTTTCATAGTCCAAACTAAAAAGAAAAAGGACCCCAAAGCATGTGAGAGGTATTTCAAGTATAACTTACAGATAATTTGTTTCAGTATTTCAGTAAAACATGATATTAAGCATTAACATGTTAAATCAAATTAACTTATTTCTACTTTGTCCTATTTAACTCCGAGGTCCTGTTAGCACAGTGTGACAATGAGCACTGGTGCTAGCGAGTGTGTAAGCAGTGCAGCAGCTTTGGCCCCGAGGCTGGATTGCAGCTATAGAGTGGGGAAGGTAGGAGTGGCTGGACCAGGGTCCTTGTATTGCGTAGCAGCGTGAGGGATGCAGGTGTGGGGCTGTCTGCCCTGTTCCACTTGTACAAAACCACTCAGGCAGGGTGATGACCGGTCACACGCACTTTGTGCTGGTAGATAGGAGAGTGTGTGAGGAAAGATGCTCAGACCCCACGTTCCCCAACACAGACCAGCTACACTTACGTAGAATGGTCATTACTTAGCACCAGCTCCAAGGTAAACTTTTATCTCTCCCCAGCTTCCAAGCCGCAGCTGCACAGCCTGCAGCAGGTGTTGGTGCTTGCTTAGCATGAGAGATGCATTTTTCTGCTGCAGACACAACCTTCAGCTGCTGATCCAGAGGCTGGGGAGTCTTTCCATTGACTTTGACAGCCTTTAGGTCAGGCTGCTCTGCACTGCAGCCTTTTCAGTGTCCTTTGTGAGAGCTCTCTGGCCAGCTTTCCCCTTGTTTTCACCAGAGATGGGACTTGGTGTGTGTGGAGGTTTTCCTTTTTACTTTTGACTGGGCCAGGGAGCCCTCTCTGCTTGTGGTCCTCCATTGGTATGTGGGAGCATCATTGCTGAAGTGTACCCTTCTGTGAAGGGATACCAGTTTTTCTGTCTGTCTTGTCTGCCTGTTAGTTTGTTCTGCTTATCTTTCTCTTTGCTTATGTAGTCCTTTATACCCACCAGAAATGGCTGAAAGAAGACACATAAACAAGAGCTGCAATGGATAGACACACCAATGGCTTGACTTCCCTACAAGCAGAGAAAGCACTACTGAGTAGCCCAAACACTTTTATTCCTAAGAGTTAAAATCTGCCTCAGGGCTTTTCTAGGTGCTTGACCTAGAACTCCCTTCTGGCACTCTTACAAACCTGTGGTGTTCTTTAGATCCACGCTCAAACTCTATACGAGGTGGACACAGTGGCCAACTGTGCTTCAGGACCGACTGTATCACATATTTGTAGACATAGACACTTAAACACCTGCTTAAGTTTATTCACTTAGTTTTAACAAAGCACATGGTGCTTTGTCACATGGTGTGACTGAGCGAGTAGCAGTTGAGATGTCCCTATGGGTTGTGCATACTTGGTCACTTTTAGGGCCCTTATTTTACCTCCAGCAGCAGCAGGGCTAGTTCAGTGTTTTGGGGGAACCTCTGTGTTTTATACTTTGGAGCTGTGCCCCACACTCACTGACTCCTTGGCCACCTCTGGCACACGGAGCCATCTCTATAGGTAACACGTGGGCTTTTTTTGAACCTGCAAGACCTTTTTTTTCTTTACTCCCTTCTCTTCCTACAAGAATAATATAGGTTTATCCTTGAGGTTTTTTTACAGCCCAAAATTATAGGATCTGATTTTGTCAGTTTTTCATCCTGTTTGGCTAACACTGCATAGTCGCTGACTTTGGAGTGTTTCATCTCCTCGCTTGTCGGGCTCTGCTGTAGCCCTGGGCGTTAGTCCAGAGACACACACTGCTGTGGTTGGTAGGAGCTGCCTGGATCTCTGGAGCAGAAGCCAGAGAGGATCAACTCTAATTGTGTGTCTTGTCAGGAGCTGGGGGCTGGTAGGAGGGCAGGGGACCGCTTATCCTCTGCCCTTGCCCAGCTGCCTCATAGAGGTCCCTGTAAGGATCCTGTTAGCAAAGTGAACGTGGCCAGGTTTCCGATGCTGGCAGCCTGCACGTCCTGGTATTAGTCATACAAGCCTTCACCATCGAGCATTCAGAGGCAGTGCCAATTTTTAAACTTTCAATCAGCTAATTTAATTCATAGTTATTAGTGCTTTTTGCAGGAAAAGCTGGACAGGGAGGTCACAAGTAATCAATGTGAAATGGACCATGTGGTCTCAGGAGCTCACAGAGCAATTCCAGCAGTCAATTTATTAGTACGGAGCAGAGAAGCACTTTCTTGAATTAACAAAATCATTCTTAGAGCTGCCTCTCGTGTCAACGTGGAAATTGGTTTTCCCAGCTACTTGACCACCTGAGTTAGCTCTGCTCTCATGAGATTTATCCAACTATATCCAGTTGGCCTGCACAACATTAATTTAAAATTTCTAATTATTCCATTTGCCTTTCAGTACTGATGATAGACATGCAGAAATGATTTCCAGAAATCCTGTGACAATTTCAGCTTCCACAGTAAATGCTTAAAATGTGAATTCCACTGCAATTAGCCCATCCAACCTACATTTATGTTTCTCTCTTTAGAGATATATATGGTAACACAGCACTGTTTCTTACAGCACTGATCCCAGATTCCAGCCCCAGACAGTACAGCTGACTACAAAGGATTTGCTGTGGGGTTGGCTTGGCCTAGAGTGGTTCACAGTCCTTGAGAAAAGAAGCAGTTTGCTTTAATGCAATGATAAGCACAGCTCTAGAGGTCCAAGATAGTGGTTCAGAGGAGCTTTGAGAACAGGAATTAGCCAGAGGTGAGTTCATCACCCTGCACTTCTCAAACTCTTTGAGCACGCTTGGACAGAAGGTGTCACAAACCTTTTCGTCCTCTGCTTCTGCTCTGTCTCAGGATGCCATGAGAAAAGAATTTTACTGAAGGACATTGTTGAAGTGAATAAAGAGGAGAAGGGAAAGCATAAAAATGGAGGCCTTTGGGATCTGGGTTGAAGATTAGGTTGAACGATCACGGAGGATGACAGTGCTCTCTGTGTCTTACCCAATGCACTTTGCCAAGCAGTACGTGCTGCAGGGAGCACAAATAACCCTGCACTGCTTCAGACATCCCATTTGCTCACAGGGTGCTCCTCGCTTTCACTAGGTGTTCAAACATACAAAAAGTGTGTAACACCAGGCTCTAGATAACTGTGTGACTTTCTCAGTGGCCTTCTCCTTCCCCGTATAACCTCAAACCACAAACACCCTGTGCCCTGGTACATGCAAGTGCCTGTGAAGAGCTGTGGCTGGGGAGCGAGGCAGGGCAGAGTCCAGAAGCTTCACAAGTGGTGGAGCTGGGTTTTCCAGTCAGGGCTTCCTCTGCCCTGAAGCTCTGCCTTGCTGTGGGAATTGAGAGAGCAGTTCAGATCCTCCTTGGTACAAGCTAGAGCAACTTTGATGGGGCTACACAGTATCGTGCCTTCTGAGCACCTGAGCTGGTCTTTTTTAAGAAGCAAGTGAGTTACTGTTCTCTCCTGTGTCAAAATCATTGAGGACTTTTCTAAAAACAGCAGCAGATGCCTCTCGTCATGCTTTTGGCCTTTCAAGTTTGATGCTCGCAAGTATGTGCTTTTGTCCTTGGTGGTTTTTTTTTCCCTTACAGGAATTCAGTGTGGCACTGTGTACCATTTCTGGCCATAGCGGTGTCCATAACCTTCCACTCTGATTCCCTGCTCTGAGCTTCTGTTTTTTTGTGACCCTTCTCTTTGCAGTGTTCTGTGTGATGCAGCACAGTTGTGTTGCTATAGCCTTAATGTCTCTTGTGCAAATGAAAGACCTTGTTGTCCAAGAAGTGTTGGTGTTGGGGTGGGGAAGGGAAGAGTTGTTCATTTTCTCTTGTTGTCTGCACTCCATTGAATTTTATTTTTTTTTATTCTAACCGATTTAACATCTGCTAAAATGTCTTCCTTATCATTTGCTTGATGATCACACAGCCTTCCCACCATTCATTGAGAGCTGGACCAGATCTCACAGAGTCTGAAAAGAGCTATGTGGTAAGGCCACTGTTTAAATCAGATGTGTAGTCCCTAGACTCTCTTCATCCACATAGTAACACCTCAGTAGAGATAAATGCCAGCACTATTTTTAGCTGTAAAGTAGATACATATTTATGTATTTGCATCTATTGTTTTGTTTGCAACAGAAAAGAGGATTTAGTAATTAGAAAAACTGTCATAGCTAATGAGAAGTCGGGCTAATTGTGCTGCCACTCCCTGGGTATAAGTTAAATGAATCAAAGTGCATGAATGGAGCAGCCCACCTTGCATTCTTGAACTGACTTCATAGCATTTGTAATGGTGCCACTGCATAACTAATTGCAACTTCTTATGCTGCTGCTTTTAAAAATATATGTATATGTTACAAATCTTCAAACTAAATGCCAAATTCTTCTGTATCTTGCCTGTTTTTCCATGCTTACACCTGGATCCCTTCTGCACTCCACTACCTGGATGTTTACCTGGATCTACAACTCTTTTTTTTTTATTTTTTTTTTTTACTGGACTTATGTGCTGCATCTGGAATATCCCATCTCTTCTTGTCTATATTTTCCCCTCCCTCCCCTCTGTTGACTGTCCTTTGGGTGTTTTTGGATGTCAATGCTGCCTACCACGCAGGAAGCTGTTTGCAATGAGATCATAAACATTGCAGAAAAGTCTGTTCATTACTGCAGTACTATTTCTCAGCCTCTTGACTCTCGCCACAAGGTGACCTCTAATGACCATAAACCATCTCTCATCATTTCTCAGCAACCTCAAGCACAGCAGCAAGGAGCCAGCCCTGACAGAAGTCAAACACCACGAGACATGTAAGTCGTTTTGGCTCCCATCTCTTCCAGGGCCCTTGTCCCTGACTGATGGTGGAGGTGGAGAGGTGTGACACCTTCAGTGTATCAAGAATTAAATTAGAAAGATGGAGAAGTGTCAGCTTTTCTTTAAAGACCAAAAAATAGCCACATATCATCATAACGAGTAGTGTAAAACTGCAACCTTTGTGTCTGTATAGCACCTGAAAAAGTCACTTCATGATCCAGGACTGGGTCCTTTGGGCATTTGAGTCATGCTGGTTATGGAGACTATCTCAATGTCTTTGTGTCTTGAAGCTGAAGACAAATTAATATCCACTGGCTACACTTGGCTCCTATGATGTGGATCAATGTGTTCACTCCAGTTCTTAGCTTCTGCCAGTGTAGCGAGCAGGCCCAACACTGATGCCCCTCGGTGCATTGCTGGCCCGTGCCACAGATGAATTGGTGACTGAATGATCTGAGACACCAAGCCTGAGATTTTCAAACCTGTTTGGTGGATTTAAACCTAGAGCTGCCATTAAGCTTAGTGGGGCCTTTCACTAACGATTTTAAGAATAGTGGCCTGCACTGTGTGCTGGGGATTGAAGTTCCTTGGCCATTGGCTCCTGAAAGGAGCCTTTGCTTTTCCCCACCCCTTTATGCAGAATGGAAAGGCTCACATCAGCTCTGTTTTCACTCCCCACAGGCAGGGGATCCAAGCCTCCCCGAATTTTGCCCCAAGATTGTTTCCACTCCATGAGATTCTTTTCTGATACATACAGAGTGCCTCTGGTGCAAGTATCTCAGGGCAGGATTCAACCTTAGATTTTGTTTGCACTGTACCTCCTCAGCCATGATTTACCTAACAGCCTTTGTGCAGCAGAGGAGGCAGTATCTCTTTTGAAGTCCTCCACTCTGCCATTTGGTCATTTATGGCCCTGCCTGGGCAAGGGAACAGATGCATCAGCTCTGGAATGAGCATATCCAGGTTTTGATTTGCATTCAGGAGGGTGTCAGCACTTGCACGCTCTTTAGGTACTATGCGTTAGGGAGATTCCGGTCCTTACGGTCTGTGGAGACAACTACATTGCAAAAAGGAAACAAAAGCTTTCTACATATCTCATGAAACTTTGTACTGCCAGGGTCTTGTGACAACAGCCAATTTAATGGAGTTGGCTTCCACCTCTCAAATGGAAAACACAGGTCTAGACTTCATTGAACAAAACACAATAGGAGTTAGAAAGGGGAAGGGAGACATTTCCTTCTGAAGAGATGTCAGGGAAATCCAATGGCTAACGTGTAGTATCTTTCTGGTTTTAGAGTTAGTTACCAAGCCCTCTACAGCTACACTCCTCAGAACGATGATGAGCTGGAACTGAGGGACGGTGACATTGTCGATGTCATGGAGAAATGTGATGACGGCTGGTTTGTGGGTGAGTTGCCTGACATGAAGATGAGCAGTTGTGGAGAGTGTCTGGAAGTTGCTTTCATTTGTGGGGTCAAAATGTTAAAAAAGATCCACTCAACTTTCTTCACAGTTTCTCATTTTTTCCTGCCAAGAACATTAAAATTAGGGTGCAGGGTGGTGGAACTTTGTTTTCCTTGTTAGGTCTCTACTTTCTCCTTTTTACTTTCAATTTCCCTGTTTCCCTTTTCCTCCTGATCCTTCCTGCTCATACAGATGGCAGAGCAACAAAGGGAACCAAGGAAAGTTATTTCTGTAGCTTTTCAAAAGCTGAGGGAGCCATGGCAAGTTACAGAAAGTGGCACGTGGGGACTGAAGGGAACACACTGATGGGAGCAGCAGTCCCTGAAAATCCAGCCTCATCTGTAGCTGTATGTTTACCAAAATCTAGCCCTTTACCTTTGGAGAATGCAAGTCTGGACAGCGTTCTCCATCTCAGCACTGCAAATCTAGGCTTGTTATCTCTTCTTAAGGAAGATTAGCTCATTTACACTGATAGGAATTTGGCTCCTAGCCTATAGTCTCAGGAGCTTTCACCAACACCTTATTAATTGTTAAAAGGCAAGGAGGGTAGCAGAACTATTTGTGTTCTCATCTATACCAAAATGTTCTTTAGCCAGGACTCCCATTTAGTTTTAGAAAGCAATGCCTGCAGGCAGAAAAGCCCACCCCTTTACCCTTTTAAGCCCCTAAGCCCTCTTTGCATGGCCCCATCTTACTCTGGCTTCCTTGTGTTTTATTTTGTGACAGGTACGTCCCGGAGAACACGGCAATTCGGCACCTTCCCAGGCAACTACGTGAAGCTTCTGTACCTGTAAAATAACAGTGATCCCACCATGACAGTGATGGGATTGTTTTCCAGATGGTGTTTTTAAACAGTGAAGAAAGAGACAATTTATGAATGTAATAGACAAGAGATGAGATGTGTTAGGAGGATGTGGTTATGTGGTACAGTATTGAGTTGAATGTGTAGCCCTGCTTCCGTGGATTCAGGGTGTGATTTGTTTGCTGAAGAAGAGACAGTTTCTAGTTTACAGTGCTGCCTTTGTGTATTTCTCTCCCCTCCCCAGCAAGAGTTCTGGTGATAATCTTGATTTGCATGGAGTACTTACCTCTGAGAAGACTTCAGGGAAGCACATGGTATAGGTTTTGTTTGTGTGTTGAGATAGGATAGTGCTTTGGGGGGCAGTACACAGCCTTGCAGCAGCTCCCTTTCCCTGGCAAGGTTCAGGGAGGCCGGGCTTTCTGCCTGGTTTCTGCCTCGCTGAAGACTCACTTTGCTCTGCCTTTTGCTTCCGCAGAAAACCCTTCCTTCGTGTCATGCACCTTAAGACTCAGCAGAGGCAGAGGACAGCTGATACGGTTAAAATGCAGAGCCCTGTGTGGAAAAGGAGTTTGGGACTGGTAGTTTAATCCAGAGAGGTCAGCCAAAGCATAATGCAAAAATCCCAAGCTCTTAAATAACATATTACTTATCTCTGCAGGGTTTTTTTCTTTTGTGCAGGGTGTGTGTGTGTGTGTGAGTGTATTGTGTGCAATCAAACCAAGTCCTGTTTTTTAAAGAGAAATCAGCCTGGCTTTGACATTTATCTGCACAAAGAATAGAACCAATAAACTGACCATCTGTGAGAGCAAATCCCGTTACGAGTCGTATGGCCGTCCACGTTCTCTGCTCCTGCTGCCCTGTTGCTGGCCCTAAAGGATCACACACTTTGTGAAGCATGCTCTTTGGAATAAAGACTTTGCTTCTTTCCTGGCATTCAGTCTTAGAGGTTCTGATAAATCTGAGCAACATATCTCTGAGGGTGCCTTTTTTTTTTTTTTTTTACTTTTAGATGACACTGTTGATGGTAGGTCTCAAATACATGCATTTTGGCTGGCTCTCAGTCACATTAAAAAGTCTAATCAATTTGGAAAGCTGTTCCCAGCAGTTGTTACCAGTTACATTGATTCACATTTCCTTGAGGAAAAACATGGCTTGGATTTATGCTTGCCTGTAAAACCACTATGATTACTTTTTTGATAGACATTTTGTTATTAAGAGAAAGCATAAACAAAACCAGTTCTATCAGACTCTTCTTCCTACAGTTACCATACAAATAGCAAAGGGTTAGATTGCTATTTTGTCATAAGCCGTATTTATAATAATATAAAATGCCTATTTTTATGCTGATGCTTTTATACAGATTTATTAAGAGTAACTACAACTAACTGTTAGCACGACTCGCAATGTTTTTGGTAAACTAGCCATGCTCCTGGGTTTGAAATCAAGTGGGTTTGTCTTCTGCCTTGGTCAGCGGAAGAGAAGACTCAGTGTCTCAGAAGTTTGACTGTAAATATGTATATTTAACTTTGTACAGACAATGTACTTACCTTGTATAGAAAAATAATTTAAACACATTGAGTGAAGGGAGGAAAAAAAAGGCAGTTGTGAAAGGTTGGGATTTTTTTCCGCTTTATTTAAATGATGGAATTCCATATATGTTCACATAAAAAGTTTTAGCACAAAATATCCATTATGAAAGGGTTTTGGATACGACGCAAAGCACCACTGTTTCTTTTCTGCAGGAGGTATCTTTAATCCTGCATCTTATTTATGGGTTTGTTTTTCTGCTTTGGGGTTGCCCTCCAGTTATTTGCAGCAATATTTAGGCCTGTTGCTAAGATTGGATAACACCAAATTAATCTATCCAGCAAAGTAACATGATGACACCGACTGTATATAACATACTCATTTAAAGGTTTATTTTTTGTTCTTGCTCTTGCCATTTTGTTACACACACACACACATACACACACACACATGCAAACCGCAGCTTATTTTTGTGTTGATTTTTTGTTTCTTATTGCAGTGGATTACTATTTGACAATTAATAAATGGAATTATTGAATTACTATCATGTTCCTTGTGCCAATTATTCAGTAAAGCCTGTTCCCACTGTTCCCATAGCAGTGCGCTTTTGTACTCCTGCCCCTTCGGTGGCTGTCTTTGTCCACGCTGAGCAGCAGGTGTCTGCCAGGGGCTTCCCGAGTGTCCTGCCCCTGAGGGTCTTGCTCTTGACTTGGCCTGAGCTCACCAGTTCTCCCTCCTGAGTCATGGACAGCCTGTGACTTTGTCTCAAAGAAACCACGGTGCAAACGCAGAGATAAAGTTGGTTTACACCCAGATCTCGCTGTACACGGACTCAGGGTGCAGGTGCTGTGGCCTGGGAGCTCAGGAGCACACCCCAAGTCCACTAGTTTACAAAGGATCTTTGTGACTCTCAGATAGGACCACACAGGTTACGTAGGACAAGAAACGCCAAATGTCAGCCTCCGTGGGAAGAGATATCAGTTGATGTTGGGTTTATATGTGCATTTTTAACCCTGACTTGAGTCCAAAGCTGTAAGACAGTGACTTCTGCACTAGTTGCACTCTGACCAGACAGGTATGTCTGCAGCACTCATTCAAGGGGTTTGTGCACAGCCTGTGATGAACACATCACATCTCCCACCCTGCAGCAGGATAAGAGCTAGTCGTGGCTTTTTGGGCGTGCCTCTTGTAAAGTAACAGTCCTCATAGGAGCAGAGCAGGGAAGGGTGGAGCTGAGCTGCCTGGGTGGGCTCACTGGGGCTCAGTAAAGCCCAATTACCACAAAAGCACACCTCACACCCCCACAAATCTGGCTCCTTCATACTGCCTGCGCAGGGCTGAAAGCTGATCTTTCACAAGGAGTTTTAACTTTGTTGAGACCTCCACCTCAAGCTGAGCCAAAATTGGACAGCAAACTCTGTGGTGATTCAGCCGGATGGCTGAGCAGACAGATACACATCGTGGCTGCATTCACAATGATTTTAGGAAGTCAAACTATAAACAAGGCCAATCCTAAGTGCAAACTAACAGGACAGCAAAGCCTTAAGCTATTTTACATTCCCTTAAAAGCACACCTACACAAGCCTGGTATTCTGTTTCACAGGTTACCTTAAAAAAAGCAAAAGGGAAGCCTGACCACTGCTTTGCTGCAATCACTAGCCCTTGCTTTACGGTGCCCTGGCCAGGGAGGGGAGAGAAAGAAACTCATCTATAGCTGCTGAACGTCAGTATTTACTAATGTCACTCTCTCTCCTGATATAGTTGGTAAGGAACAAGCTAGAGATGCATTTGTTACTGCAGAAGCTGGTGTGCAGAGATGGGAAGGGGACTCAGCAGTGTGTCACAGCCCTCACACCTGGGGGGAAAGTTGCTCATGGTGTCACTTTCTTCGCTGCCAGAAGATGCAGTGGAAAAAATACCGCTCGCTGATGGAGATAAGATTAATAGTCCAGATGCATGTACCTTGGAAGGAAATAATCTATGAAATGACAAGTTAAAGCAGAAAAAGGGAGGCAGCCAAGAAAGGGGATTGCAGAGGGAAGGGTGTGCCTCATGATGGGACCATTCGTGTCCATGTCTTGTAGGACCAGCAGCTGGGCAGCCTGCTTCATCCCCACTTGCTCATTGCTCCCCAGGCCTGGCTGAATCTCAGCTTCAGCAGCAGCATTGTGCTGTAGCTCACAGATGAGCTGTGTTCATTTACTAAATAAGCAGCAATGTTTCCTCTCAAAATTGTAAATGCCAGCAGCGCTGCTGTAATCGACCTCTCCCACCTGTTCAACATCAGGTCAGGTCGATGGGGGCTTAGCATGCAACTGGAACAACTATTTTGTCCTGAATCACAGCTAAGGAGGTTGGCAGATAAACCTGTATAGAAGAATTCCTTCTTTTGTTGGTGGTACCACCCCTAAGAGGCTAGAGATAAACAAATCTGCCCCAAGCAGTGACAAATCAGAGCTAACCTAGGGGACAGGTAATACCCTGCGC